CGTAATCACCTGCTCTCCCTGGCTGCAGATTTCCAAGCCTGGGTCATATTCCTGATCTTGTGTCTCTAAATATTTAGCAGTTAACAATGGCATGTTTTTTTCCAACAACAGCAAACCTCCCTGGAGGAATAAACAACTACTATTTCTATCTCAAAATAAGAAAAACATCTCCCCTTACTTCCACCTCCCCACCCCCCGTGCACCCAAGTTTGCCTGGCAATCTTGCCTACTTCTAATATCCAGGAGGATAACTATATGATTTTCTTCAGGTTCACCTTCTTATTTAGCTTCTCTAGGATCACAAATTAGAGACTCAAAGACCTTTAACTATGGCTAGAATCCACTTATGACTGAGTACATACCATATTCCTCTTTTGGGGTCTGGGTTACCTCACTCAGTAAAGCATTTTCTATTTCCATCCATTTGCATCCAAAATTCAAGATGTCATTGTTTTTTACCGCTGAGTAAAATGTGTATATGTTCCACACCTTTTTTTAACCATTCCTCTATTGAGGGGCACCTAGGTTGTTTCCAGGTTCTGGCTATTACAAATAGTGCAGCTATGAACATAGTTGAACAAATACTTTTGTAGTATGATAGGGCATCTCTTGGGTATATTCCCAAGAGTGGAATTGCTGGGTCCTGATGGAGGTTGACTCCCAGTTTCCTGAGAAACCACCACACTGATTTCCACAGTGGCTGTACAAGTTTGCATTCCCACCAACAATGGATGAGTGTTCCCCTCACTCCACATCCTCTCCAGCATAGGCTATCATTGGTGTTTTTGAGTTTAGCTATTCTGACAGGTGTAAGATGTTATCTCAAAGTGGTTTTGATTTGCATTTCCCTGATCGCTAAGGAGGTTGAGCATGTCCTTAAGTGTCTTCTGGCCATTCGAAGTTCATCTGTTGTGAATTCTCTGTTCAGTTCAGTACCCCATTTTTTAATTGAGTTAATTAGAGTTTTAGTGTCTAGTTTCTTGAGTTCTTTGTATATTTTGGACCTCTCTGGAAGAATAAACAACTACTATTTCTATCTCAAAATAAGAAAAACAATACAAGACCATTTGAGGGTTTCGGCAGCAGCCTTCAATCAATGTCCAGGGTTAAGTTCTCCAATCTTAACACTGTAAACAAACATATAGCCATATTTCCCTGTTCCACTGTGCTATTTTAAAAGAGACAGTGAGACAGAGACCTTCCCATGTGCCTGGATCCTTCCACTAAGCCTCGGTTTGTCTCCACATAAGTACTCTCTGTATCGGGTTAATAGAATTGCTGCTCACTCTGCTTCACTGCACTCTGGCACAAGAACCATTCACATAGAGTGAAAGCCTTTTTCCTTGAATGTATGTCTAATGAGACGTTGTCTGATATGGCTTAGAATTCACCACTAAATCAAGTCACTTGCTTTGCAAGCTTTTTGTCTTTCTGTCTGCAAAGAAGCCACAATTGACCATGCTTTAACCAGGACCCCAAGTTAAGCCCCACCTGCAAGTGTCTTTCTTACCTTGGTGTACTGAATCTTCAAGTTGGCCAGTGGGGCAGGGATTACAGGTTGTGCAGGAGAAGACTGCTGGTTTGGCTCCTGGAACTCAGGTGACAGACTCAGCAATTTGGTTCAGATAGGGCACTTGCTCTTTTTTTATCTACATGCTCTAAGGTTCATTTGTATATTCAGATATGATTGGATGGGCATACTCAGAGCAGGGCAGAAAGGACTCTACTCTCTCGTAACATATAAGGCTAGTAGAGAGCCTTTCCCTTTAAATGTGAATCCTTAAGGAACCTGCACCTCAGCCCTGAAGTTCCATGTGGAGACTGCTCACTATTTACAGATAAATTAATTTACCAGACCAAATCTGTGCTAAAAGAATACTTGACCAGGAGCTCTGGACACTCTAAGCCAGTTATCATTTTCTAAGTTTTTCATGATTTTTTAGATTACCATGTAAAGTTCCCTTCTCGGATAGACTTTGTGAAGTAAAGAAGTAAAGGTTCTGTTATCAATAGCAGCAAGGGAGATAGGACAGTTGTGGAATATTATTTGAAGTTGTATTACATTTGTTTATGCTATGGAACATTTGTTCTTTTTTTAAAATTTATTGTATTTTCTTTTAAATTTCCCAATCCAAGTTCTTACTCCCTCCTCTCCCTCCATCCCCTCCACACACCCTCCCACACCACCCACATCCAATCCTCAGAGAAGGTAAGACACATTGCTTTGGGGAAGGACCAAGGCCCTCCCTACTATATGTAGGCTGAGCAAGATATCCAACTAAAGAAAATAGGGTCCCTAAAAAGTCAGTACATGCAGTAGGGATAAATTCTAGTGCCACTGCCAGTGTCCCCTCAGTCTGCCCCAGCCATCCAACTGTCAACCACATTCAGAGGGCCTAGTTTGTTCCTATGCTTGTTTCTTCCCAGTCTGGCTTGCCTTGGTGAGCTCATATTAGCTCAAGGAGACTGTTTTGGTGGGTATACTCATCATTTGTTCATGTTCTCATTCTTCCCACCCTTCAACTAGAATTTGGAGTTCAGTCCAGTGCTCTGAAGCAGGTCTCTGCCTCTGTTTCCATCAGTTGCTGTATGAAGGTTCTATGGTATGTTTAAGCTAATCATCAGCTTATGCTGGAGAGGATGGGGAGTAACGGGAACACTCATCCATTGCTAGTGAGAATGCAAACTTGTACAACCACTTTGGAAATCAGTATAGTGCTTTCTCAGAAAATTGACAATCAATGTACCTCAGGATCCAGCAATACCATTCCTGGGCATATACCCAAAAGATGCTCAATCATACTACAAAGACACATGTTCAACTATGTTCATAGCAGCATTATTTGTAATAAACAGAACATGGAAACAACCAAGATGCTCCTCAACCAAAGAGTGAAAAAAATATGTCACATTTTCGTGTTAGAGTTTTAAAAAAAAGCAATTAAAAAAAAACGATAACATCTTGAATTTTGCATGCAAATGGATGTAATTAGAAAACACTCTTCTAAGTGAGGTAATGCAGACCCAAAAAGAAGAATGTAGTATGTACTCACTCATTAGTGATACTAACTATAAACAAAGGACATTGAGCCTATAGTTCATGATCCTAGAGAAGCTAAGCATTAAGGTGAGCCCTAATAAAAAACATATATAGATTATTCACCTGGAAAGTTGAATAGACAAGATAGCCTGACAAAATTGGAAGCATGGGGGTGGGAGGAGAAGAAAGAGTGAATGAGGAAGAGGCAGGGAGAAGAGGAGAGGTGAAGAAAACTTGAGGAAATTAATATTTGAGATGGAGGAAAGACAGAGATCAGAGCAAGGAAAGAGATATCTTGATTGAGGTAGCCATTATAGGGTTAGCATAAACCAGGCTCTAGAGAAATTCCCAGGAATCCACAAGGATGACCCCAGCTAAGACCCTAAGCAATAGACAGAGGGGGACCTAACTTGACTTGCCCTGTTGTCAGAGAGATTATGCTTTTAAAATAATTGTATTTGGGAAAAAGAGGAGACAAGTCAGGTCTGGAGAACAGAAAGTTCTTCTAGATTCTCAGACAGTGCATTTTGGATATTTTTGAGTATCCTGCAACTCTCATTTGAATTAAGCTAGAAACTTCTGCTCTTCTAATCTCTTGTTCCCTTTTTGTTTTCAAAAGCGTGTGATTTACTTTTACAAATGCCCTTGAGTTAAATGCACAATTGCACAACTGTTATTACATAACATGCAGACTAGGGCTCTGGATAATGCTCAAACTGCTGCATTTTGCAAGGGTCACAGTTGTTTGTGGATCCAAAACTTATTTATTTGATGTTGAGGAGGTAAAGCCACAGGTTGTAAAACATTCTTGGCATTCTCACTTACTCTCTGAGTAGGCACATCATTCACTGTCTTTCACTAGATATCTATGTAGTAATGTACTCCTAAAACCGAGAATCACAGCAGGTAGTTTAAAAAAAAAAAACAACTTTGGAGGCAGTTACCATGACAGCCCATTAATTTTCAACAAGCACTTACTAACCATTATTTGTGCTTTCCAAAACTTTGGCTTCCTTTGCCAGGATGTTTTTTACTGCTCAGTACTGGGCTATGACAGTTATTTCCAAAACAACTGTTGTCAAGTCCAGAATTTACTTTATACAAAAGTTTGTTTCTGGGGATGATTTCAAAAGCCAAAGACATTTTTTTTTCATTTTTCCTCTTAAAGAGGGAAAATAAAGTTTAGTAAAATGATGGGAACTGGGGAGGCCCTCCTCCTGACTAGACCCAAAACTCTCATTTGATGACAGAACTGGACTCTTTTTTATTTTTTTATTTATGTTTTGTTTTCATTATAAGACTGGGTTTCTCTTTAGCTTTGGAGCCTGTCCTGAAACTAGCTCTGGTAATACACCAGGATGGCCTTGAAATCAGAGATCCGCCTTCCTCTGCCTCCAAAGTTCTGGAATTAAAGGCATGCACCACCACTGCACTGCACAAGCCGGTACTTTTTTAAGATGGCGTTCTTGCAAATAATATCGAATCACTTCCTTCTCAGTAATAAGCTAAATTCCACACTCATACACACATACATAAAAAGAAATACAGAGTTATATTTAAGCAATGGCTTCCAACTCTTGTTAAACATGTACTTATACCAAGAAATGTACAGACCATGACATCTGCCATCACTGAAACCAGCTCGACAGACAACACATCAGTGCACAGCTCCATTGAACAAGCAGTTTTTACAAGAGCAAAGCTCTTCCTTACATGGGCAGATGAACATTCTACTAATAAAAATAATAAAAATTAAAATAAGATTAGGTAACAAAACATAACTGAATAGTGGAATGAACTCTTCTGCTGTGGACCAAATGTTTATATCCTCTCAAAGTGCACATGCTAAAGTCATAACCTTCAGTGTACTTCTTTGAGAAATGCAATCTATAGGGAAAAAATGGGTCATGAAGGGGAAGACCTTATCAGTGATAGTAATGACATTATAAGAAAAAGCCCAGGAAAAAAATGACTTTATAAGAAAGAACCCAGAAAAGCCTCTTGGTGATTTCCTTTTTTCTACTCCCAGCCTCATTGCTTTGACTTTTTCCATCTCTTTCTTTTCTGGTACTATGGACTGGACGCAGAGCCTCAGACATGATGGGCAAGCACCCTAACACATAACTATGTCACCAGCTTTTCTGGCATATGTCTTCAGTGTGAAGACCCAAAAGAAGTCAGGAGACTGCTACCACACCGCCTGATCATGCTAGACTTCTGATGTTTGACTTTTAACCCCCAGGACTCGTCTCTAAAAGACATCCAGTCTCTGGTCTGTTGTTAAAGTAACATAAATGGACTAGGATGCCTTCTTTTCACATTGTCTAACTTCAGGATCCTGGGTGGTTCATGGAGCTCAGAATCTTGTTCTGATTCATGCCACAGCTCTCAAACTACTGCTTCCTTCATCATCATTGATATATCCCCATGACAAATATTTCTTTACCTTTTTAATAGCTATGGTTTATCTGATATCACAACATTCTTATGCCTGTTCAGGGTTTTAACCCTTCTGTAGTTTGTTATACAGTCGATGCTAAAAAGCGCTCATGAAATTAAACGTGTATATATGGATTAATTTCTATTTACCTACTAGTCTTTATTTAGCCAAACTTTTCATCTTTTATTTTTGGGTCCTCACATGCTTTATCATTGTCCTTCTGTTTGATTTTAATATACCATATGTATCCCAGGCATCTAATACAATTGAACCATTCAGTGGATAGTAGGATCTCTACAATAAACTGTGGATTTAGAACCTTATAAGATAATTATTTGAGCTTAAAGAGGATTTTGCTAAACTTTAGGGGTCAAGGTTGTCTCCTGGAAATTGGCTGGTATAGGTTTTGAAATTACCTTGCAACACAATTTTCAATATTTTATCTATACTTTCCACTTGGTTTCCTAATAGTAAAGACAGAAATCAAAAGTATCAGTCTGCCCCATATTTCTGAGATTTATGTTATGCATAGATTACCCTAGAACATGCACATCGTTTTGCTTGAAGCAATGATCCTCAATCACTTTTATGCTCATATCTTAAGTCACATTACTTCAGTCATTTGAGTGAAAAAGACAGTGCATGTGGACTCAGCCTTGGTGCTGAGCCCGACTAAATAGTGTTGAAACAGAACTGATATTTAAGGATGGAATGCTAGTATTTTTTCTCCTTTATGATTTCTTAAACTTTTTAATATTAAAATTTATAGAATTTAATTATTTATACTTATGTACCATTTATAGAATGTTTAAAAACAATGAGACTACAACAATTTACTACCAACTCTGTGAGCCATGTTCACTGCCTCAGCTTCAGGGACACAGGGGCTCTAAGTCACCATTAAGTAACTAGTAACACACTACCCTCAAATCCCATGAAAGGGCAGGACCTCACAAAAGAGACCAGAGCTAATGCTGCCAGCATGATTTAGGAAGCTAACTCTCAAAGAAGTTGTACAGTTTTTGCTCCTAATGTTGAGTCAGAAAGACTTTTCTTAATGGAGTATGTATCTGCTCACCACCAGCAAACAGAGCCTATCTGAAAAAATGTGGCTACCAAGAAGCTACACATAACTCCTGTTTT